ACATTGTTACTTTATGTTAAGATATGAACAAACAGAAGATTTACAAGGCGGCGTTAGGAATCACGTTGATAATTGATGTAGACGTAGAGGAAGGATGATCAACTGCTACTTTTGATAGAATCCAAGTTCGCAAAATGTAAACCGCCTGATCCCAACAATACCACTGGACATACTAACGAACGAACCCACACACAACACTCACACAATAATTCCAATTCTCATCATGATATAAAATTTAGCATGTTAAGATAAGACATTTTATCAATGCGCTCTTCTAACATAACATAGACATCTTTCCACCAAGCTGCATGATGAGTGTGATGATTTCAACATCATACTTGAGTATCGTAGGCTCGGTAGGCTTAGAAACTATACCCGGTTATCTCAATATTATTCCGACAAGACATCGAGACGATTGGTTAATCATTAGTGCCCATTGCCATTGTAACTTTAATATTTGTGTCCAGTTCGTTAAAATAATTGCAAAAAAACATTTAACTTTACCTGGTCCATACTCCAAATCATGATACAGCCGTCTAGAAAACGATTTCAATTTCTTAACTTACACGTTCCAAGGTTTGTTCCGTTGCATTTCCTTTGATTTGTTCATAATGTTCGCTGTTGAATGAAAATGTGTGTTTTCTCGGCACTGATTCTGCAGCTTCTTTTTTAACCTTTGATGTATCAAAGTGGATGGGTTATTTCAATTCAACATTCTTAGGTATTCACTTTCATTTCACATGTGATGTTGGTATATACAGTTGTGGTAAAACACAAAGCACCACGTCGTCGCCACCACGTACAATACGGTATCTAGCCCACAACTGCGCGACGCAATCGCATATTATGTGCGGTTTGCTTAAAATGGTTAACTAATATTAAGGATTGAAGATTAACGAAAAGTTAGTCTAGTTTGAACTCAATAGATATTCCAAACGTATCAACCACGATAGAATCGTACGTCAGTTCGATAAAACCGCACAATATGCGCCCAGATGAGCAATGGCAAAGTTTTTCTATCGTGAAGAAAACGTGCACAGAACTCCATGCAATCCTGTGCAATTTCACAACTGTAAATTCATTATAACTGTAGTTACAAGTATGACATGATATTCAACTCTTTCTGGATGATGGCTCAAAAAGTTGAAATAATCTCGCACGTAGTTTTAAGCTTCAGTACAGAGAACAGTATACCTTATGAAATACCAGAAGACTAGGGCCTTCCTTGGTCGGTCGGAGTGTGCTATCTTTAGAAATGTCTTGATTATGTCTTTAGGAAGGCAGTAAAAATTGTCTCCTTCACCATTATGAAATAAATCCTGTTCATTGTTAGTAAACTGCGATAAGTAATTATGACTATGTAAGAGTTTACATTTTTTCTTTCATTACTTTTTGTCGTTGGTTCATTTAATCTTATCGTAGAACTGTTAATTCATTAATATTTTGGTGACAAGTTGTTTGTTTTTATGAAACTGCGTTCATTACTTCCTCGTCAGTTTCTTTGATAACAATATTATAATTGTTCTAAATTTCACCGAAGCTGACTTTCCTCTGTCATTAACTTTGTTAAGTCACTTGGTACAGTTCGGTTTATAAAGCCATTTTCAGCTTTGGTGATTTTTTCAAAGACAGAATCGAATGTTTTGTTCTTACCTTTCCTTGGGTTAGACATCGATCTATTTCTTACTAAATCCTCTTTCGAGCTCTTTGAGATAACTGCTGCTGTTGTGGAAGTTTTCAGCTAGCCTTAATCTTCGAGTACATGTATATTCCTTCACTTCAACTTTAAGTTCTTGTGGATTAGTTTTTGGAGTTGGTGTGCATTTCAATCTCTTTAATAAACGCTTAATTTCTAGTATTATTATTTTTCTTCGAAAAAGTGATGATCTTTGAGTGTAGTTGAGTCCCGTTTCCTCTGACAATGCCATCAATTCCTTTCTGTTGCTATTGTAGATATTTATCCAAGAATCTACCTATGATCCAGATAATTCACACGTTGAAACATTTAACTTACATGTCACCAGTGTTACATACCCTGGAATAATTCTCATTGGCTGCACAACTCAGAAATCAATTGTGATTGTGATAGAGTACAATGACATTACGTCAAGAAAATAGCTCCCTGGGTTTAATCTTACCATCCCCATCTTGGCTTAGTTCGCTAACGTTTTCAGGCCTATATACATGAAGGGGGTTGCTTGGATTTAAGAACGGGAAAACAGTGAAATCTAATAGTGACTTGGATTGCAAAAGTAGGAATCTGATTCATATCATTATATGTATATCAACTTGTAGAGAACAGGAAATGCAATGAATGGACACTGAAGTTTTGCTGGAAACGCGTAAAATTCTACTGTGTGCATACCTTCTCCTTTTTACAGGATGATATATCTGTATTACAAAAAGACTTTGCAAAGATGACATGTTTTGAAAGTTATTTAAACCGTTACTAAATGGTCTTTTTAGTGACGTGATGGCTTATAGGTAGGATTGTTAATATCATCTCCCCTACTGTTACTATTGTCATAATGATTCATTAAAATAATCGCCTGCGATGATTACGCTAGGCATGCAAACATCATAAAGAACTACCCGTGTTATCTTGTTATATTATATGACGCTAGTAATGATCAATTCTTTGAGTGTAAATTATGTAATATTCGACAAATCCAACATTTTTAGTATTATCCTGTGGAAAGTAAAATGAAAAAATACGTATATGTCATAAGTGTAAAATACCATAGAGTATTTCTCACTGGCTGCAAAAGTCAGAAATCAATTTTGATATTATAAAAAGCATGGACGATGACATAACATGACATACTATGTATACTTATATTCAGATGGTGTACTCAGTTCCATGTAAGTTCAATTTGAGGTTGGATGCGATTTAGCTTAACTCTGTTCAGTAGTTTGATATGAATGATTGTAATAATTTACAACAAAACGTATGTCATAACCTAAACGTTTTGTTCGTTCGTTCGTTTTATTTCTATTTTTCCTGCTGGTGTTGTGGACTGCACGCTTTATTCGACATGTCCCACTTAGAAGAACACTGAAGTTAGTTTGTGTATAAGAACCTTATCAATAGATGAAGGAAGTGGTATTATCAAAATATGTAAATATAAAAGTAAAAGGCTGGAGACAAGGGTTCTACATTTAACTACATATTGCAAAGAACCTAGAAAATATCGGAATGCTAATGGGATCTTCATTTAAATTCCAATTTTATGAAAAAATAACCAATACAACTATTTAAACGAATATTCCGAGAAAAGTACAAGAAAATAAAATAAGAGGTTCTGGTATTTTATCGACGACAAGTGAATTATACAACATCGGAACCAGCCAGAACATTAACTAACATCTAATATGTATAACCCTATAACATACACAGAAATTAGATCATAATATCAAAATATCAACCGTTAAACTTCCAAACATTTTTTATTAAAAATATTCCGGTTGTTACAACGCACTGAGATGACTTTTGTTTATATAAATGATACACTGAACATAATAAATGTGTAATCATTATTCAAGCATGGTTTCTAAGTTCAACTTTCTGGGCAATTATTGATATATTAGTAAAAGTTAAATACGACAGACATGATATATGTGGTATGGAACTGTTTAGTTGGAATCTTAGAGCTAGCATGTAGTACGATGTGGAATTATGTAAAACGTGCTTATATGGTCTGTTTGAAACCTTGTTCACGTAAGACAAATGCTACTTACTCACGTGTCGGTAAGCATGGATTGTTGACCACTGCCATGGGTTCTCCTTATTAGGTGCTGATCAGATATGCTATCTTGTTGAGTTCCTGTGTTGATGTGTGTTACTTTCTTCCCTTGATGGCCTTGAATTGCTTTTACTACATACATACGGACTGGACAATATAGAACAACACGTTGACAACAATAATAAACATTGCTGAATAGAAAGAAGAACAAGTAAATCACTAGGCGTTGGTACTTGGATGTTTTGCTATAAATGTCATACAATATTCTTACAATATGCTAATTAATCACAGGTTAACATGAAATATTCTTGAAGGTATTTGAGAAGATAATCGATTTAATCACAGGTGAACCTATATTTCATGAAAACATTAAAACTGAAACACAATCACTTGACAATCATTCCGGCTATTAAGTTACTAGCATTATTCCCATTCATTGTCTATATGAATAAATTTCATAGTCTATACGTCTACATATATCTCATAAATACTTTTATGTAACAGAGAGACATTTAAAAAATTATAAATTTGGATTAGATGCATTTTAATTGAAACATAAAAGAAATGTGTCTAAAAGATGAACAAATTAATAAATATCGCTTTAAACTGATTCGTTTTCCAAGTCTGAAGGATACTGATGATAGGCACTCACCTATATCAATACATAAGGAATAATATACCAAAATATGAAAACACATGAACAAATGTATCAAAATGTCAACGCACAATAACAAATTATACCAAACAAATACACAGGAAGCACTCCCAAACTTGGCAAAGCATGCCATAAAGTTAATGTGTCGGAATATTCCACACCAGGGACAAATACAAACACTTTGATACATAATGAAAAAACACCACATACAAGGATGTTACATAAAGCCTCACCAATGCCTTCTATGGCTTTATTAAACAATTCTATTTGTTAGGTCACATATCGATGAATGACACTAGCAGCTGTATAAATGGAAATCAGCTTAAATAATATGTATACTTTTTATTCAGATGACCTAATAACACTTTGTATACTATTAAAAGAACTTCTTGAGCAATTGACCAGCGTCCACCTACACGTGAGAGCTGTCCTTTTACCTGATAACAGTCACGTTTACACTACACGGGGAACCACACTCGGGTATTATATCACTCTTTATGTAACAAATTTTGAAATTGAAATGGTATAAATATGGGCTGAAAATTTCAAAACGTCACTGTGATCTCTAACACATCGAGAAGACGATACAACTTCCTTTCAAAATGCTCCGTGTATTCTGTCTCACCCTCGCTCTACATGCGGTGCTGGGCCGTAACCTTGTACAGGTTTTACAGTCGTCGGCCAGCGAGTCTACCCTGGTCAGTTTGGTACAGAAAGCTGGTTTAGCCGGTGCCTTAGGACAAGGTCAGTGGTCATACAATGTAATGTTTTTTTCAATGTTGATGTACATGTAAAATGACTTTATATGAAAACGTTTCAAAAAGATGATATTGTCTTAATTTCTTTTTCTTTGAATATGAACTTTTTTGCATAAACAAACTGATTATAAAGTGCCACTATGTTTCAGAATACAGGAAAAAGAAATTCTATGAATCTATGTATGATATGTTTTGCTATGACATATAAACACAAGATATTTTAACATATCTTGCGAATTACAGGAACCTTTACCATTTTCGCTCCTTCCAATGCCGCCTTTGCTAAGTTGCCTGCCGACCTTCTAGCCTCACTAAACAGTGACGTAAACGCACTCGCAAACGTTTTGAAGTATCACGTGGTGCAAGGATCTATTCAAAAGAAGGATGCATCCAATGAGGCTCAACTTGATACACTGGCTGGTACCAAAGTTCGTTTGAACATTTACAGCCATAATAATGTAAGTAACTAATGCTATCATAACAGGTACTTGCTATAATAGTATACATATATATATATGTGTCAGCAATTATTATTTATTTTTTGGTCAGATTTAACTTTTAACAACTACTGGTACTAACTTTCTATTTGAAAAGATAAGCCAGCATATGTCAAGGCTATCTACTAAAACTGAGAAATATGTTAAATGTTATGAGTAACTGATTTTCCCTGTTAAATGCATGTCTATAAAATTTCTTCCATATACCACTTCTTGTAAGTATTGCTATTGCTACAATATAAAGCGTAATCCAAAAGACGTTTTGCTGGATTCTTTGGACTGCCCTTTTATTGAATCATATAAACCTAACATATATATATATAATTGCTTCTTAAAATGTAAGCAGTGTGTATGAGGATATTAGGAAACAGGGAAGATTGAGAAAGTATATTTAGTTAAACTTATATCGGTAATAATTAAAGAGAGGAGTAATTAAAGAAGCATCTAAATAATATTACTAATTTTAATGTTAATGACCGTCGACGAATTATGCAACGGATTAAATATACATCGTGACTAAATTAGACAATGTGACCACACTGAGCAATTTTACAAAGTTTACTTATCGAAATATATACGTTCTATCTAATTCCAATAATTCATGTGTCGGCTACTCTGTGTCAAATGTTGGTTCGTGTGTTGATGTTATATATGAAGGAAAAGCAAAGCTTCTAAACGATCATGATCAAAAGATAAACTTTCTAATCTAATATATCGATTGTTTACTACTCTTTGTTCAATAAACAATTAATTTCTTTGAAATTGAAAAAATAAAAAATAATTACGTTCAAACATCGTCTGCTTCCTGCCTCACAGTAATAAGACGAGGCGTCGAGAGACAATACATATTGATCAAAGATGTTTTCAGCTATACGAATTATTTAATTGAACATGCATCAATGACAAGGTTAAGTCTTCGCAAAATGAAGACACAGTTGAGATGGAGGCGACCGGCTACGACCCAAGAGTTCAAAGTTCAGCTGAAATACTTTGGTACACATATATATTAAACATGATTGCTTTCTCTTAATATTGTTTTCGTAAAAAACTGATGATTACAAAAATCATTACTACAAATCGTTTTCCAGCGAAGAGAGAAATATATGTAATTATTTTTCATAACATCTTTCAGTCAGACAGCTAAAGAATACAGACACATTGTCTTTAGATTTAGAGGCTGTTGGAGAATACACATGCCATGTATCAGATGTACACGACTAGAAGATAAATTATAAGTTAAACACCAAAATATGTAACATCGAGATATAAAATGCTTGAATTGTTTTTTCATTCCGAGATTGTGAACCAGACTTTTTTAGAAAAAGACGTTATCCGTCGTGATATGTACATACTTGCTTAGCGTTTAATGTTGTCCTAGCAATTCTTGATTATTTCTTCAAAGATGTGCTCAGACTGCTTGATTTCCGTTACAGATACTCTGTAAATATAGTTATGACTTGGAATAGACAGTGTTTTTTTCTCATGTACTTTGTATATCACTTCCTGGCAAACGCCTTAGTAAACATCCCATCATCATCTTTCTATCAACAGGAAGTAACTGTTGAAGGATCTAGGATAACGGACTTCGATATCGAGGCTGACAACGGATATATCCATGTTATCGATACAGTAATGCTCCCACCAGAAGGCAGTATCGTCGATATCGTTTCCGGTGCCCCGGAATTATCTGTTTTGTTATCGAAAGTCAAATCAGCTAATCTGGTATCTGCTCTACAAGGTAAGTTTACTTCAGTAGACATGATAATATGTATGATAGACAGAGCTGTAGTTAGAGGGATGATTATGTATCGCGAATAAAAAAGAACATTAAACTATTTAAATCAAGAGAATATTATCTCAGACTTCATAAACAAGATAGAAATACAATTGATAGTGAAAATATTACAGGCATACATATGTATATGTAATAAAGTACAATAATAAATGTAAAAGTTAAATCATGCGAGTATTTCGGATTTTGACAACTCTTTTTATTTATTAAATTGATTTCCTTTTCTCGTTGCTTTTAACATTATAATATGTTATATATACATTTTGTTTTTCATTGTATCAAAACATTATCAATTTTTGAAACATTGAAATACTCTTTGCTAGGTTTTTAATTTGTAACATTTTAACAAAAAGGGGACGCTCTCACTGTCTTCGCTCCAACAAATGACGCATTCCAACGACTTGGATCAAGAGTATTGAACAACCTTGCCTCAAACCCACAGCTCCTTAAAGGTAGGATATATCTATAGGCAAAATTAAAAAAGGGTGGAATCTTAGTGGGTATTTTTGGTGAATTCTTTCTTTTATTGACCTAAAGTCTGCTACACATACATACATACATACATATATACATACATACCTACAAACATACATACAAACAGACAGACATATAATACGAATATCTCGTCTATTAAAATACAAACAATATTGTCTCCCGAATCTATATATTTTCTAAGGAATTATCAATCTCATTACATTTTTTTATCAATCTTGATTTTCAAATTTTAAGCTCATATCATCAGAAACGAGCCGTGGGAGGACGAGACAGTTAACTGCATTAACTGCATTATTTGGCTCTATGATATCTAATTCTAAATACGTATTAAAAGGGCCAATTTGTTTGAGCGTGCTATGCACATTTCGAATAATAAATCAAAATATCAAAACTATTTATTATGCATTGAATCCGAATATTAGAAGAGGTCAGCGGTATGTATATCAGCGCTGACACAGGAGCTCAGTAACTTGTTTAATTATGTTTGTGTCTTTTGTAAACTATAAAATATGAACTGGGCTTTTTATCATTTTGATGTAAACAGAGGAACAAAAGTTAGAGTTACCTGTTAATTGGGTATAGGTTGTCTGTTCCTGATACTAATGTTTTACTCTGTACGATTGTTATCTAGATTACGATCATTAAAGGGATTATGATATGGTACCTGTCTTAAGCATTAATTGCCAAAGTACGGATGATTATGTCATTAGTGGAAGGTACTATTTATTTTCCACTAACCAATAATGATACATGATGCACTTTCAGAAATCCTGGAATATCACGTGGTACCACACACCGAGTATTCCGCCGGTCTCTACAACAGGGAACATCTCAGGACACTGGATACTCATCACGACGTCATTAGAATCGGAACTTCAGGTAGGGCAAGTCCTCTGTTGGATGCAAGTAACATTGTTTGTCTTCTGAGAATAGCTCCTTAGACGCATCTTCTTTAAGACTCTAGACGAATTATTTATGACATGTCATTTTGTCTTTGTTATCTCAGCGTAAAATCAACTGCTAACTCCATATAGAAAAGTGTATAAACTTTATATTTGTTTATTCAATTATCATTGTTACCACAAAGTCTACATTTATTGAAAATAAAATATTGATAAATCATTTTTACAGGCTCGTCAGTCCATGTGAACACCGCTACAGTAACAAAAGCTGATATTGGAGCCACAAATGGAGTTGTGCATATAATAGATCACGTGCTTGTTCCTCTGAGGTTCCTCGGAACTGCAATATTTGGGAAGAAGTAGGAAACATATATATATCATTATGTATACAGCCATACCTCATCATCATTGTTGCTCATTGTTTGCATTGTAAATATTGTTATTTTTCTAAATAAAAATTAAGAAGTTTCTTATTCTTTTTCTAACTTTCATGAAAATAACAATATGGATAAGATAAAGTGTATTCATAACTGCTACACATAAGTTACACAACAAATAAGAAACCAGTGTAAAATAAAGTGACAGTAGTTATCAATAACTTTATGCACAAAAGGTGGGCCTGTCACCATAGCACTTACCTCCATTGAATCGTATGGGATATAGACTAGTGCTATGACACAATAGTGCTAAAGAGCATGGTGCGGATAAGCTATGGCCATTATCGTATAGCGAACAGGACTTGTAACTATGGCTATAAGAAAACAGATCGGTACCAGAGCTTGGCCATTAAAATGTCCAGGCGTCAGCGAGTGTTGGGAATTCCATCACTTATGTCAGACACATTGTTACTTTATGTTAAAATAAGAACAAACAGAAGATTTACAAGGAGGCGTTAGGAATCACGTTGATAATTGATGTAGACGTAGAGGAAGGATGATCAACTGCTACTTTTGATAGAATCCAAGTTCGCAAAATGTAAACCGCCTGATCCCAACAATACCACTGGACATACTAACGAACGAACCCTACGAACACTCACACAATAATTCCAATTCTAAAGATAAGACATTTTATCAATGCGCTCTTCTAACATAACATAGACATATTTCCACCAAGCTGCATGATGAGTGTGATGATTTCAACATCATACTTGAGTATCGTAGGCTCGGTAGGCTTAGAAACTATACCCGGTTATCTCAATATTATTCCGACAAGACATCGAGACGATTGGTTAATCATTAGTGCCCATTGCCATTGTAACTTTAATATTTGTGTCCAGTTCGTTAAAATAATTGCAAAAAAACATTTAACTTTACCTGGTCCATACTCCAAATCATGATACAGCCGTCTAGAAAACGATTTCAATTTCTTAACTTACACGTTCCAAGGTTTGTTCCGTTGCATTTCCTTTGATTTGTTCATAATGTTCGCTGTTGAATGAAAATGTGTGTTTTCTCGGCACTGATTCTGCAGCTTCTTTTTTAACCTTTGATGTATCAAAGTGGATGGGTTATTTCAATTCAACATTCTTAGGTATTCACTTTCATTTCACATGTGATGTTGGTATATACAGTTGTGGTAAAACACAAAGCACCACGTCGTCGCCACCACGCACAATACGGTATCTAGCCCACAACTGCGCATATTTTGTGCGGTTTGCTTAAAATGGTTAACTAATATTAAGGATTGAAGATTAACGAAAAGTTAGTCTAGTTTGAACTCAATAGATATTCCAAACGTATCAACCACGATAGAATCGTACGTCAGTTCGATAAAACCGCACAATATGCGCCCAGATGAGCAATGGCAAAGTTTTTCTATCGTGAAGAAAACGTGCACAGAACTCCATGCAATCCTGTGCAATTTCACAACTGTAAATTCATTATAACTGTAGTTACAAGTATGACATGATATTCAACTCTTTCTGGATGATGGCTCAAAAAGTTGAAATAATCTCGCACGTAGTTTTAAGCTTCAGTACAGAGAACAGTATACCTTATGAAATACCAGAAAACTAGGGCCTTCCTTGGTCGGTCGGAGTGTGCTATCTTTAGAAATGTCTTGATTATGTCTTTAGGAAGGCAGTAAAAATTGTCTCCTTCACCATTATGAAATAAATCCTGTTCATTGTTAGTAAACTGCGATAAGTAATTATGACTATGTAAGAGTTTACATTTTTTCTTTCATTACTTTTTGTCGTTGGTTCATTTAATCTTATCGTAGAACTGTTAATTCATTAATATTTTGGTGACAAGTTGTTTGTTTTTATGAAACTGCGTTCATTACTTCCTCGTCAGTTTCTTTGATAACAATATTATAATTGTTCTAAATTTCACCGAAGCTGACTTTCCTCTGTCATTAACTTTGTTAAGTCACTTGGTACAGTTCGGTTTATAAAGCCATTTTCAGCTTTGGTGATTTTTTCAAAGACAGAATCGAATGTTTTGTTCTTACCTTTCCTTGGGTTAGACATCGATCTATTTCTTACTAAATCCTCTTTCGAGCTCTTTGAGATAACTGCTGCTGTTGTGGAAGTTTTCAGCTAGCCTTAATCTTCGAGTACATGTATATTCCTTCACTTCAACTTTAAGTTCTTGTGGATTAGTTTTTGGAGTTGGTGTGCATTTCAATCTCTTTAATAAACGCTTAATTTCTAGTATTATTATTTTTCTTCGAAAAAGTGATGATCTTTGAGTGTAGTCGTCCCGTTTCCTCTGACAATGCCATCAATTCCTTTCTGTTGCTATTGTAGATATTTATCCAAGAATCTACCTATGATCCAGATAATTCACACGTTGAAACATTTAACTTACATGTCACCAGTGTTACATACCCTGGAATAATTCGCATTGGCTGCACAACTCAGAAATCAATTGTGATTGTGATAGAGTACAATGACATTACGTCAAGAAAATAGCTCCCTGGGTTTAATCTTACCATCCCCATCTTGGCTTAGTTCGCTAACGTTTTCAGGCCTATATACATGAAGGGGGTTGCTTGGCATTTAAGAACGGGAAAACAGTGAAATCTAATAGTGACTTGGATTGCAAAAGTAGGAATCTGATTCATATCATTATATGTACAACTTGTAGAGAACAGGAAATGCAATGAATGGAGTGAAGTTCACTGGAAACGCGTAAAATTCTACTGTGTGCATACCTTTCTCCTTTTTACAGGATGATATATCTGGGTATTACAAAAAGACTTTGCAAAGATGACATGTTTTGAAAGTTATTTAAACCGTTACTAAATGGTCTTTTTAGTGACGTGATGGCTTATAGGTAGGAGCAATATCATCTCCCCTACTGTTACTATTGTCATAATGACTCTGTAAAATAATCGCCTGCGGATGATCGCTAGGCATGCAAACGTTAAAGAACTTCCCGTGTTGATGTTATCTTTTTAATGATTTTCAATAATTTGAGAAAATTATGGAAATTCGACATTGAGTTTGGAATAAAATGAAATCGAGCTTAACATGTTAAAATATGAAAAAGAAGGAAATAGCATACCCTATTAGTCAGTATGATAGGTATTGAATTATCAAAAAGGACGTGATGCTCACATTTTCAGACGGGGTATATAGTTCATGTAATTTCAAATGGAAGGTGGCTGCGATTTAGCTTAACTCTGTTAAGTAGTTTGATATTAATGATGCTTACGATTTACAACAAAACGTTTGCCATAGTCAAAATGTGTTTTTTTTCTTTCATTTGATTGTTTTTCCCATGTTAGTGGAGTGGACTGAACGTCTTGTGTAAGGCTTGTCCATCATAGAATCCCATTTGATTTAGTTTGTAAACATGAACCGTATCAATAGATGAACGAAATGTATTATCAAAACATGTCAATACAAAAATAAAAGGCTGGAGACAAGTGTTCTTCATTTTAACATATTGTCAACAACATAGAAAATATCAGAATGTTAATGGGATCTTCATTCATACACAAATTTAATGAAACAATATAAATTAATAGGCAACATAACTGTTTACACGAATATTCCGGAAAGAGTACGAGAAAAATAAAATAAGGTGTTCTGGTATTTCATCGACGACAATAGCATAGTATATTTTTGTCACTTTCCCACATGAGAACAAGCTATGCAACATCGGAACCAGCCGAAACATTAACTTACATCTAATATGTATGACCCCATATCATACACAGAAATAAGATCATAATATCAACCGATAAACTTCCAAACATTTTTCATTAAAAATATTCCGGTTGTCGTAACGTTCTGTGATGACTTTTGTTGATATAATTGATACGGGAAGCCACAACAACAACACTGACCTTCTTAAATCACTAAATCACAGAACATAATAAATATGTAATCATTATTCAAGCATGGTTTCTAACTTTTGGGACAATTATTGGTATATAAGTAAAAATAAAATATGGCATGATATATTTTGTGTGGAGCTGTTTAGTTGGAATGTTTGAGCTAGCAGGTAATATGATGAGGAATCACGTAAAACGTTATTTTGTGTTCTGTTTGAAAACTTTATTCACGTTAGTCACATGCTACTTACTCACGTGTCGGTCAGCATGGATTGTTGACCATTGTCATGGGTTCTCGTCATATGGTGGTGGTCAGATATGCAATCTTGTTGAATTCTTGTGTTGATATGTGTTACTAACTTTCCTTGAGACCGTTGAATTGTTTGTCCTACATACATACGGACTGGATGATATAGATGAACACTATAACAACAAGAAACATTGCTGAATAGGAAGGAGAAAAAATAAAAGCACAAGGCATTTATACTTCGATGTTTTGCAATAGGTAGAATGTCATACAATATTCTAACTTATTTATCGTAACTTAATTGATGAAATATTCTTGAAGGTATTTATTTATTATAAGATAATCGATGTCAAATAATCACAGGTTAACCTGTTTCTCATTTCAGAGGTAAAAGCAATACCCTGCATATGAAATATATCCATAAAAAAGAAAAAAAAACAAACAAAAATACACCATTGCTGGACAATCATTCCGTCTATTTATTGAACTAAAATTCTTACCATTCATTGTCTATACGAATGGATGTCATAGTCTGTACTTCTACATACAGCTCATAAATACTTTTTTGTGACAGAGAGACATCTAAAATATCAGCATTATGATAAAGTAAAATTGTACCATTAAATTGGGATTAGATACGGTTTTAATTGGAACATGACAAATTTTGGTCTAAAACAAAGAAAAAGTAAATAGATATCGTTTTAAACTGATTCGTTCTCTCAGGCTAAAATATACCGAGGATAGGCATTCATCTATACATACAACTTCATCAGTGCAAAATATCAATACATAAGTATAAATATAGCAAAGTATCAAAACACATAAACAAATACATCAAACGTTCAGCGAAAAAATACCAAACAAAAATGCACAGAAAGCACTCCTGGAATATTCAACATTAAGTTCGGGACAAATACACAAACACATTGATACATTAATGACAAAAGCACCAAACGCAAGGCTGTAATATAAAACCTCACCATTGCCTACCAAAGCTTTATAAAGCAATTCTATTTGTGAGGTCATATATAGATTAATGATAGCATTAACTGTCCTCTTGAGGAATTGACCAGCGTCCACCTACACGTGAAGGCTGTCCCCTTACCTGATAACAGTCACGTTTATACTACACGGGGAACCGCACTCGGGAATTACATAACTCTTTATGAAACAAATTTAAAATGGTATAAATATGAGCTGTAAATCGCCAAACGTCACTGTGATCTCTAACACATTGAGAAGACGATACAACTTCCTTTCAAAATGCTCCGTGTAGTATTCTGTCTCACCCTCGCTCTACATGCAGTGCTGGGCCGTAACCTTGTACAGGTTTTACAGTCGTCGCCCAGCGAGTCTACACTGGTCAGTTTGGTACAGAAAGCTGGTTTAGCCGATGCCTTGGGACAAGGTCAGTAGTCACACAATGGAATGATTTTACAGTGTTTATGTACATGTAAAATGACAAAACGAAAGTTAAAAAAGATGATATTGTCTTAATTTCTTCGTTTCTTTCAATATGAACTTTTCATGCATAAACAAACTGATTATAAAGTGCCACTATGTTTCACGATACAGGAGAAAGAGCTTCTAGAAAGCTGTATGATATGTTTTGCTATGACATATAATCACAGGATATTTTAACATGTCTTGACAATTACAGGAACCTTTACCATTTTCGCTCCTTCCAATGCCGCCTTTGCTAAGTTGCCTGCCGACCTTCTAGCCTCACTAAACAGTGACGTAAACGCACTCGCAAACGTTTTGAAGTATCACGTGGTGCCGGCATCTATTCAAAAGAAGGATGCATCTAACGAGGCTCAACTTGATACACTGGCTGGTAGCAAAGTTCGTTTGAACATTTACAGCCATAATAATGTAAGTAACTAATGTTATCATAACGGGTACTTACTACAGCAATTATTATTTGCCTTGTGGTCAGATTTAACTTTTAACAACTACTGGTACTAACTTTCTATTTTAAAAGATAGCCAGCATATGTGAAGACTATCTACTAAAACTGAGAAATATGTTAAATGTTATGAGTAACTGATTTTCCCTGTTAAATGCATGTCTATAAAATTTCTTCCATATACCACTTCTTGTAAGTATTGCTATTGCTACAATATAAAGCGTAATCCAAAAGACGTTTTGCTGGATTCTTTGGACTGCCCTTTTATTGAATCATATAAACCTGAACATATATATATATAAATTGCTTCTTAAAATGTAAGCAGTGTGTATGAGGATATTAGGAAACAGGGAAGATTGAGAAAGTATATTTAGTTAAACTTATATCGGTAATAATTAAAGAGAGGAGTAATTAAAGAAGCATCTAAATAATTTTACTAATTTTAATGTTAATGACCGTAGCGACGAATTAGCAACGGATTAAAATACATCGTGACTAAATTAGACAATGTGACCACACTGAGCAATTTTACAAAGTTTACTTATCGAAATATACGTTCTATCTAATTCCAATAATTCATGTGTCGGCTACTCTGTGTCCGTGTTGGTTCGGTTGTCTATGATGTTTAAACGTTTGAAGGAGCAAAGCAAAGCTTCTAAACGATCATGATCAAATGATAAACTTTCTAATCTAATATATCGATTGTTTACTACTCTTTGTTCAATAAATAATTAATTTCTTTGAAATTAAAAAAATAAAATAATTACGTTCAAACATCGTCTGCTTCCTGCCTCACAGTAATAAGACGAGGCGTCGAGAGACAATACATTTTTATTGATCAAAGATGTTTTCAGCTCATACGAATTATTTAATTGAACATGCATCAATGACAAGGTTAAGTCTTCGCAAAATGAAGACACAGTTGAGATGGAGGCGACCGGCTACGACCCAAGAGTTCAAAGCTCAGCTGAAATACTTTGGTACACATATATATTAAACATGATTGCTTTCTCTTAATATTGTTTTCGTAAAAAACTGATGATTACAAAAATCATTACTACAAATCGTTTCCCAGCGAAGAGAGAAATGTATGTAATTATTTTTCATAACATCTTTCAGCCAGACCGCAACAGAATACAGACACACTGTCTTTAGATTTAGAGGCTGTTGGAGAATACACATGCCATGTATCAGATGTACACGACCAGAAGATAAATTATAGGTTAAAACACCAAAATATGTAACATCTAGATATAAACTGTTTGAATTGTTGTTTCATTCCGAGATTGTGAACCAGACTTATTTTAGAAAAAGACGTTATCCGTCGTGATATGTACATACTTGCTTCACGTTTGATGTTGTCCTAGCAATTCTTGATTATTTCTTCAAAGATGTGCTCAGACAACTTGAATTCCATTACAGATACTCTGTAAATATAGACAGTGTTTTTATTTCATGTAATATGTATATCAATTCATGGCAACGTCTTAGTAAAATATTCCATCATCATCTTTTTCTCAACAGAAAGTAACTGTTGAAGGATCTACTATAACGAACTTCGATATCCAGGCTGACAACGGATATATCCATGTTATCGATACAGTAATGCTCCCACCAGAGGGCAGCATCGTCGATATCGCTTCCAGTACCCCGGATTTATCTGTTTTGTTATCGAAAGTAAAACAAGCTAATCTGGTATCTGCTCTACAAGGTAAGTTTACTTCAGTAGACATGATAATATGTATAATAGACAGAGCTGTAGTTAGAGGGACGATTATGTATCGCGAATAAAAAGAGGACTTAAACGATTTAAATAAAGAGAATATTATCTCAGGCTTTATAAACAAGATAGGAATACAATTGATGGTGAAAGTATTACAGGCATATATATGTATATGTAATAAAGTACAATAATAAATGTAAAAGTTAAATCAATCATGCGAGTGTTATTTATTAAATTGATTTCCTTTTCTCGTTGCTTTTAACATTATAATATGTTATATATACATTTTGTTTTTCATTGTATCAAAACATTATCAATTTTTGAAACATTGAAATACTCTTTGCTAGGTTTTTAATTTGTAACATTTTAACAAAAAGGGGACGCTCTCACTGTCTTCGCTCCAACAAATGACGCATTCCAACGACTTGGATCAAGAGTATTGAACAACCTTGCCTCAAACCCACAGCTCCTTAAAGGTAGGATATATCTATAGGCAAAATTAAAAAAGGGTGGAATCTTAGTGGGTATTTTTGGTGAATTCTTTCTTTTATTGACCTAAAGTCTGCTATACATACATACATACATACATACAGACAGACATATAATACAAATATCTCGTCTATTAAAAATATAAACAATATTGTCTCCCGAATCTATATATTTTCTAAGGAATTATCAATCTCTACATTTTTTTTTTATCAATCTTGATTTTCAAATTTTAAGCTCATATCATCAGAAACGAGTCGTGGGAGGACGAGACAGTTAACTGCATTAACTGCATTATTTGGCTCTATGATATCTAATTCTAAATACGTATTAAAAGGGCCAATTTGTTTGAGCGTGCTATGCACATTTCGAATAATAAATCAAAATATCAAAACTATTTATTATGCATTGAATCCGAATATTAGAAGAGGTCAGCGGTATGTATATCAGCGCTGACACAGGAGCTTAGTAACTTGTTTAATTTTGTTTGTGTCTTTTGTAAACTATAAAATATGAACTGGGCTTTTTATCATTTTGATGTAAACAGAGGAACAAAAGTTAGAGTTACCTGTTAATTGGGTATAGGTTGTCTGTTCCTGATACTAATGTTTTACTCTGTACGATTGTTATCTAGATTACGATCATTAAAAGGGATTATGATATGGTACCTGTCTTAAGCATTAATTGCCAAAGTACGGATGATTATGTCATTAGTGGAAGGTACTATTTATTACCCACTAACCAATAATGATACATGATGCACTTTCAGAAATACTGGAATATCACGTGGTACCACACACCGAGTATTCCGCCGGTCTCTACAACAGGGAACATCTCAGGACACTGGATACTCATCACGACGTCATTAGAATCGGAACTTCAGGTAGGGCAAGTCCTCTGTTGGATGCAAATAACATTGTTTGTCTTCTGAGAATAGCTCCTTAGACGCATCTTCTTTAAGACTCTAGACGAATTATTTATGACATGTCATTTTGTCTTTGTTATCTCAGCGTAAAATCAACTGCTAACTCCATATAGAAAAGTGTATAAACTTTATATTTGTTTATTCAATTATCATTGTTACCACAAAGTCTACATTTATTGAAAATAAAATATTGATAAATCATTTTTACAGGCTCGTCAGTCCATGTGAACACCGCTACAGTAACAAAAGCTGATATTGGAGCCACAAATGGAGTTGTGCATATAATAGATCACGTGCTTGTTCCTCTGAGGTTCCTCGGAACTGCAATATTTGGGAAGAAGTAGGAAACATATATATCATTATGTATACAGCCATACCTCATCATCATTGTTGCTCATTGTTTGCATTGTAAATATTGTTATTTTTCTAAATAAAAATTAAGAAGTTTCTTATTCTTTTTCTAACTTTCATGAAAATAACAATATGGATAAGATAAAGTGTATTCATAACTGCTACACATAAGTTACACAACAAATAAGAAACCAGTGTAAAAAACAGTGACAGTAGTTATCAATAACTTTATGCACAAAAGGTGGGCCTGTCACCATAGCACTTACCTCCATTGAATCGTATGGGATATAGACTAGTGCTATGACACAATAGTGCTAAAGAGCATGGTGCGGATAAGCTATGGCCATTATCGTATAGCGAACAGGACTTGTAACTATGGCTATAAGAAAACAGATCGGTACCAGAGCTTGGCCATTAAAATGTCCAGGCGTCAGCGAGTGTTGGGAATTCCATCACTTATGTCAGACACATTGTTACTTTATGTTAAAATAAGAACAAACAGAAGATTTACAAGGAGGCGTTAGGAATCACGTTGATAATTGATGTAGACGTAGAGGAAGGATGATCAACTGCTACTTTTGATAGAATCCAAGTTCGCAAACCGCCTGATCCCAACAATACCACTGGACATACTAACGACCGAACCCAACGAACACTCACACAATAATTCCAATTCTAAAGATAAGACATTTTATCAATGCGCTCTTCTAACATAACATAGACATCTTTCCACCAAGCTGCATGATGAGTGTGATGATTTCAACATCGTACTTGAGTATCGTAGGCTCGGTAGGCTTAGAAACTATACCCGGTTATCTCAATATTATTCCGACAAGACATCGAGACGATTGGTTAATCATTAGTGCCCATTGCCATTGTAACTTTAATATTTGTGTCCAGTTCGTTAAAATAATTGCAAAAACAAACATTTAACTTTACCTGGTCCATACTCCAAATCATGATACAGCCGTCTAGAAAACGATTTCAATTTCTTAACTTACACGTTCCAAGGTTTGTTCCGTTGCATTTCCTTTGATTTGTTCATAATGTTCGCTGTTGAATGAAAATGTGTGTTTTCTCGGCACTGATTCTGCAGCTTCTTTTTTAACCTTTGATGTATCAAAGTGGATGGGTTATTTCAATTCAACATTCTTAGGTATTTACTTTCATTTCACATGTGATGTTGGTATATACAGTTGTGTTAAAACACAAAGCACCACATCGTCGCCACCACGCACAATACAACAATACGACACAATCGCGTATTTTTTGCGGTGAGGTTAAAAGGATTGACTGATATTAAAGATTGAATATCAAACGAAAAGCTCGCTCGTCTAGATTTCATTCAATATCTATCACAGACGTATTAACCACTACAGAATCGTACGTCAGTGCACAACATTCGTCCAGATAAGCAATAGCTCATTTCGCGAAGTTTTCCTATCGTGCGCACATCGTGCAGAAATCTTTCACAGAACCCCGTCATGTGACCCTGTGAGATATCACAACTGTAAATTAATTACAACTGCAGTTACAAGTATGACATGGTTTTCAACTCTTTCTGGATGATAGCTCAAAAAGTCCAAATAATCTCGCACGTAGTTTTAAGCTTCAGTAAAGAGTACAATATATCTTATAAAATACTTATTTGTTTTTTGAAAACTAGGGCCTTCCCCGGTCGGTATGAGTATGTAATCTTTAGAAATTTCCCGATTTTGTATTTTTGGAAGGCAGTACAAACATTATAAGCGGCGATAAGTAATTATGGTCATGCAAGAGTTTACATCTCTTCGTTCCTAACTTTTTGTCGTTGGTTGATTAAATCTTCCCGTGGAACTTTAAAATCATCAATATTTTGGTGACAAGTTGTTTGCTTTTATAAAACTGCGTTCATTACTTTCCTGTCAGCTTCTTTCATAACAATATTATTATCGTTCCCCATTTCAACGAAACTGGCTTTTCTCTGTAGTTCATTTGTTTAGTTACTGGCTACAGTTAGGTTTATTTTTCTTCGAAAAAGTGATACTTTTTGGGTGTATTCGTTCCGCTTCCTGTGAAATTGCCTTCTGTATCTCTGTACCTGTCAAAATATTTGAATTTAACGAAAGCTGTTGATCATCACGTAGACTAGACACATTGAACTGTATTATATAATAATCACTGTTTATTCTACCTGTTGCTATTGTAGATATTTATCCCAGAATCGACCTATTATCCAGATAATTCACACGTTGAAACATTAAACGTTTATGTCAGCAGTGTAACATACCCTGGAATATTTTCCATTGGCTCCACAAGTCAGAAATCAATTGTGATATCATAACATTGACAATGGCATTACGTCAAGAAAATGGCCGCCTCAGTTTGATCTTACCATCCCCATTTTGACTTCAAAATCTGTTAAAATGTAATGTTTACGTTTAATGTGATTAAAATGTATCTTAAATTTGTTTTCATTTCGAATGATAATTTTTTGTCAAGACTAAAAAAAGGAAAGCATATATATATATATTGTGCATCGGTCAGTCATTAAAAAGATAACCAACTGGTTAGTTCGCTCACGTTTTCATGTCATTATATATGATGAAGGAAGTTGCCTGGCATTTAAGAATGGGAAAACAGTGAACTCTAAAAGTGACTTGAATTGCTAAAGCATGAATATGATTCATGTCATTATATGCCCAACTTGTAGAGAACAGGAAATGCGATGAGTGAGAGAGTTCTAATACATAAACAACAAATATGTTTACTGGAAACGCGTAACATTCTACTGTGTACACACTTAGACAACTTATCCCTTTTTAACAAGACGGCAGATACCGGTATTACAAGAAGACTTTGCAAGGAAGATATGTTTGTAAAATTATTTAAACCGTTTCTAAATGGTCTATTTATTGACCATATAGGTAGTAACGTAATTATCTCCCCTACTGTTACTATTGTCATAATGTCGTTTCCAACTCATTAAAACAATCGCCTGAAGATAGTCGCTAGGCAGTAATATGAAGAAAATATTAACTTGTAAATATTTATATGTATCTCTGAGAATAGAACAAATAGTTACAAACACTACCGTCATAAAATCTTTCGGTTCTCATTGGGTCCCATGACTAAAAACGAAATCCAACGTATTAAAAAGGATTGTATCTAATATATATAGTGAATTATCAAAATTCGACACAAAGATACAGAACATGCTGAATGGTGTATCAAACGTCATTACACCGCCGCCTCACCTGCGCATAAGTGGTAACTGGAGAAAATTATGGAAATTCGACATTGAGTTTGGAATCAAATGAAATCGAGCTTAAGATGTTAAAATATGAAAAAAGAAGGAAATACGTTTACCATATTAGTCAGTATGATAGGTGTTGGATTATCAAAAAGGACGTGATGCTCACGTTCTCAAACGGATACAAGTTCCATGTACTTTCAAATGTAAGGTGGTTGCGATTTAGCTTAAATCTGTTTAGGAGTTTGATATGAATGACTGATAATTTACAACAAAACGTATGCCGTAACCTAAATGTTTTGTTCGTTTTTGTTTTGCTGGTGGTTTGTGGACTGCACGTTTTGTGCGAGACATGTCCCACATAGAATCATACTCAAGGTAGTTGTGAACATGAACCTTATCAGTAGATGAACGAAATGGTATTATCAAAATATGTAAATATAAAAGTAAAAGGCTGGAGACAAGGGTTCTGCATTTAACTATATATTGCAAAGAACCTAGAAAATATCGGAATGTTAATGGGATCTTCATTTAAATTCCAATATTTATGATCCAATATAAAAAAATAACCAATAAAACTGTTTACACGAATATTCCGGAAAAAGTACAAGAAAAATAAAGTGTTCTGGTATTTCATAGACGACAATCGCATAGTATATATTTTGTCAATCAGCAATGTCACTTCCAATATAAAAAAATAACTAATAAAACTGCTTACACGAATATTCCGGAAAAAAGTACAAGAAAAATAAAGTGTTCTGGTATTTCATAGACGACAATCGCATAGTATATATTTTGTCAATCAGCAATGTCACTTTCCCAAATGAGAACAAGCTATGCAACATCGGAACCAGCCGAAACATTAATTAACATCTAATATGTATAACCCCATATCATACACAGAAATAAGATCATAATATCAACCGTTAAACTTTCAAACATTTTTCATTTAAAATATTCCGGTTGTCGTAACGTACTGAGATGACTTTTGTTTATATAATTGATACGGGAAGCAACAACAACACTGACCATCTGAAATCACTAAAACACTGAACATAATAAATATGTAATCATTATTCAAGCATGGTTTCCAACTTCTTGGGCAATTATTGGTATATTAGTGAAACTTTAATATGGCAGGCATGATATATGTTGTGTTCTGTTCGAAAACTTTGTTCACGTTAGTCACATGCTACTTACTCACGTGCCGGTCAGCATGGATTGTTGACCATTGTCATGGGTTCTCGTCGTATGGTGGTGGTCAGATATGCAATCTTGTTGAATTCTTGTGCTGATGTGTGTTACTGACTTTCCTTGGCACCGTTGAATTGTTTGTCCTACATACATACGGACTGGATGATATAGATGAACACTATAACAACAAGAAACATTGCTGAATAGGAAGGAGAAAAAATAAAAGCACAAGGCATTTATACTTCGATGTTTTGCAATAGGTAGAATGTCATACAATATTCTAACCTATTTATCGTAACTTAATTGATGAAATATGCTTGAAGGTATTTATTTATTATAAGATAATCGATGGCAAATAATCACAGGTTAACCTGTTTCTCATTTCAGAGGTAAAAGCAATGCCCTGCATATGAAATATATCCATAAAAAAAGAAAAAACCAAAAATACACCATTGCTGGACAATCATTCCGTCTATTTATTTAATTAACATTTTCCCCATTCATTGTCTATACGAATGGATGTCATAGTCTGTACTTCTACATACAGCTCATAAATACTTTTTTGTG